GGGCTCTAATCCCCATGGAGGAGCCCTGGTGATGCAGTGGTTAAAGCACTCGGCTGCTAACCCAAAGGTCAGTGGTTCTAACCCACCAGCTGTTCCGCAGGAGAAAGATGTGATAGTCTGCTTCCATAAAGATTTATAGCCTTGGAAACCCTATGGGGCAGTTCTACTCTGTCCTATAGGGTTGCTGTGAGTCGAAATCAACTCAATGGCAATGGGTTGGATTAATCCCCATGGAGAACTAGAATGCAGAAGAGGAATCAGTTACGAGGACAGGACACGGTGACAGGGATAATGTGAAGACTGCAGCTGTTTGGGCACAAGGGACCTAGGGGATCGTGCAAGGGCAGTGCAACCTGGACTTGGGGTGACAAGACTAATTCTACCCACCTCCTGGTGGGGATTGAGCTGCTAATGTATTGTCAGGCTTGGGTAAGTGTGGTTTAGAAACCGGGAGGAATTGAGCTACCAGTTTGAAAGACTTTAGTAATTGTAGACAAATGGGGCTGGGGAAGGCAGGAACTGATAAATCCCAAACCTTTTGGAGTGGTCAAATCCCACCTTAGTTTATTTCATTCCATGACTCACATAAGTGTTGTATTCCACATGTCTATAAAAAAATAATTAAAGCTAATTAAAATTAATTTTGCTTGGTGAGAGTTTGAAGAGTTTCATAATAACTCTTAAGATAATTAGAGATGCTTTGGGATGTCACAAAAGGAGCATTTAGAATAACTGGGCTAGACGTTTAAACCAGAGATAGGCAACAAAAGGAGTAACAGAATGAGTAGCAGTGCTGCAGTGGAAAGAACACTGAATTAGCAACTAGGACTTTGGGGGTGTAATCAGTGGTGTGCTGCTATACTGGCTCTCTGAAGAAATAAACCATCCTGTCTTGTAGCACTTGCCAATTTGTGTGGTATAAGTACTCCTTCCATGGTAGATTTAAAACTACCAGTGGTTTAACAACTGGCTCAGCAAATTCCTGAATATTTAACAACAGCTCTTGCAAGCCTGCGTGAGACAGCTTCAGCATACCAATACAATCCTGTCTGAGCTTCTAATTTTCTTTGTGACCTTGGGTACATCACTTCACTTCTCTGGATCTAAGTTTTATCATCGATGACATGAAGCTGCTAAAATAACCTCTAAGGTCTATTCCAAAGTTAACATTCCAGTAACATAGCTAGAGGAGCCCTGGTGGTACAGTGGTTAAAGCGCTTGGCTGCTAACTGAAAGATCGGAGGTTTGAAGCCACCAGCCACTGTATGGGAGAAGGATGTGGCAGTCCTCTTCTGTAAAGATTTACAGCCTTGGAAACCCTATGGGGGTAGTTCTCCTCTGTCCTGTAGGGTCACTATGAGTCAGAATCGCCTCATAAAACCAAAACCAAACAATAGCAATGGGTTAATGTAGCTAGTATTATAGGGGTGGGACTACCATCATGTTACAAAAGAGTTAACTACCAAAAGAGTTATATCAGACTTTCATGAGTGTTATTATGGTCTATTGGAACACATACTTTGATATCTGAGTCTGTGTTATAATCAACCATGTTACGATTTCCTCTGTCAGCGTGTGTGACCTTCTCCAGTACCTCTTTCCAGAAGAATTAAAAAGACAGTGCAGCTATTAGCAAGTCAAATTTCATGGCCCACCAGTGAGGTAAGAAACTATTACCCATAGTCAGAGAATTCTACACTCAGTTACCAGGTCCTAGAAGTCAATTGAAGGGCTAGTGACAAAATCCTGTAGCTCAGGTACGCGTTTTCCTACCTGAATGTGAGACACAACAGTAGTAGTTTCCCCTGGACTAGTAACAATTTGAGATATGCATTTACTCTAAGCTTTTTGAAGGCAAGGACCGTGTCTTTCATATATATGTGTGCCAAATCCTGGCATATAATAGGAACTCAATATATGTTTGTTGAAAGAAAGAATAAACTCTGTTGGGCCTTTCTAAAGCAAATTCTGTATTTTGAAATATTAGTTCAAAGGTAGACATGAGCTTTTCTGTATTTATGTTGATAATGCTGAAGAAATATATTTTTTAAATGCGAGAAATTACTTTCTTATTATAACAGAAAACTTTCCAGAGCCCTCAGTTCAATATTGAGCATTTAAAGCTGCCTTCTAGCTAGAGAAAAGAATTGGTCACACAACCTGAATTCAATGGAAAAAAAAACATGAATGAGAAAATCCCAAACCAGGCAAACCAGGTATTTACTACGCACCAGGGAGTACCTCCGCTGTCCTAACCAGTGGAATTAGTTTATCTCTTTTGAAAAGAAAAAAATGCTATTTATTTATAGAGCACCTATCACGTGCCACTTCACCAACATTTAACCCTCATAATAACCCTCATAGACCAAGTATTGTTATTCCCATTTTAGAGAAAAAGAAACAGACACAGAGAGGTTAAGTTGCCCTTTGTCACAGAGGCAATAAGTGGTAGATCTACAAGTCAGCACCCTTAAGGTGGTGCTCTTCTCACCCAACCAGGTTGCCTCAGGGCTTTCTGATTTCCTTTCCTCGTTGTCTGTCTTCCTGGTTTGCTGTGGGGGTTTGGGTGCTTTCTCATGTGAATGAACCTGGCTCAGACCACTAGCAGGCCAGCTGGAGCAAGAGCCTCTGACAGGGTGCTAAGCAAATATGCCAAGTCACATCTGTCCCTGACTGTGGTAGCTGGGCTGTACTTTGCCCTAATGAATCAGCTCCATGGAGGCCAGGCAGTTGCAAAGGTAACTCACTGACTGTAGATTTGAGGGCCAAGTAAGTCTTGGTAGATGTGGCACCCGGACTTTGACAGTTTCCAAAAGGAGAGGAGATACTCTTGGGCTGGGTCCCTGGAGCTGCGCTGAAGTAAGGTGGGAAGCAGTCAGAGCAGGTAGGTCCTGCTAGGTCCCTTGTTTTCTTTCTTTTAGCTGTACTTGCTTTGCTGTCAGGTTAGGAAAGACAACATTGCCTTATTTGGGAATAAGAGAAGGTCATGTATGTGAATATACGAGCGTGACTTGTCACGGTAGATGTAATTCCTTCATTTTGAGAATCTTAGGTGCTTTTCCTTTGATGTGATTTTGGTCAAGAGTTTGGGTATTGTGCCTTTGCAGGTGGGAAGGGGCTATCTAGTGAAATATTCAGGGACAAGGTGAATGTGGCTTTCTTCTTGTTGCTCTTAAACCAAACCTGTTGCTGTGGAGTTGATTCCACCTCATGTCAACCCATATGTTACAGAGTAGAATTACTTGATAGGGTTTTCTTGGCTGTAGCCTTTATGGAAGCAGTTTGCCTGGACTTTCTTCTACAGAGCAGCTGGGTGGGTTCAAACCACCAAACTTTGGGTTATCAGCTGATTGCAAACCGCTTGCGACACCCAGGCTCTTTGTTGGTCTTAAAAAACCAAAAACCCAAACCCATTGCCATCCAATTGATTCCAACTCCTAGCAACCCTATAGGACAGAGTAGAACTGCTGCCCCATAGGGTTTCCAGGTTGCTGCTGGTGGATTCAAACTGCTAACTTTTCTGTTAGCAGCTGTAGCTCTTAACCACTATGCCACCAGGGCTTTTACTTGTGTCCAGATGGCATTGAGTTTCATGGGCCTTCAGGAAGGATCCACACACGCTTTTACCGTGTCTGGCACTTTGGGCCTTTCTGCGGTTTTGTTGGCCATCACTTTCATTGCACCTGGCTTTCTCAAGGAAGCGGGCTGATATGGGAAGCTCCTTTGGGCTTTGCTCTACTTGTATGTTCTGAACTGGAACTGCTGTCTCACTGCCCTTGGCTCATGGCTGTGGTACCTGACTCCATGACATTAGAGCAGAGTGATGCCTGGGTTCCAACACACACCCTTTTGACCTTTTGTTCTGATATACATTTTTATATTTGGCTAAGAGTTTCAGTAGGGGAGTAAGTGAACTGGATCAATCAGAATCTTAATCTTGCAACCTAAAACAGCTCCCAAGGGAGACAAGAGGTGGGGGTGGAGTGAGGCAGTGTACACTCCTGATACAAGAGAATCCCTAGGCAGGAAGAAGGTCTGATGGGAGCTTTCTCTTTGGAGGCAAGTGGATGCAGGTGCTCCGCTGTGATACTGAGGTAGACAGAGGAACTTAGAAGGCATTCAGCCACCTGGAGCTATTTTTTATTTTGAGGAGTGAGTGGGGAAAATTAGTTTGATGTGGGGGGAGACTTTCCAGGTTTTAAAATCTCCAGTCAGGAAGTAGTATTGAGCAAACAATCCCAAAGTTGCATCTCACTGGTTCCCCTGGAGGAGGTGCATGGTATGGCCATATTGTGGGAGTTCTTCCAAGAGGTTAATTTAAGGATTCAGGAAAGGCTTCTTTTGAAGAGGTTATTTCAGCTTCTTTTTGTTTAAGAGATGTCTTCAGCCACTCACACTACCCTAATCTTTCTCTTTGACTCTTCCACAGTGCTTTGCACATACTGATAATACTATGACTTATTGAACAATGATGATATACCAGGCAGTGTGTTAGGCACTTTTTATACATCATCTCTAATTCTGAGAATAAACCTGCAGGATATCCCCTATTTTACAGGTGAGGAAATTGAGGCTGGAAAAAATTAACTAACTTCTCTGATCACATAGCTAGCAAATGGCAGACCTAGGATTTGAACCCTGGCCAAGCTCCCTCCAAGGCCCACTCTATTTGTGTGATACCACAGGGTCTCAGTAGTAAGTTTTGAATAAATATTTGCTAGTAGAATAAATGAACAAGCATTTATTGAATCAGGATATCTAGACAGCATTTTCTAGTTGCATCTGTGCTGTTCATCTCTCATGCCTACCACATCTATTGTTGCTCAAAATATACTTTTAATTTTTTAAGCAACATTGATAAAATTGTCTAGTCTGTTATTTATTTCATGTAGTGAATCGAGGTTGTTTTTCAGATTTCTCCATATCAGTACCCATGTGGTTTGTTTTAGAGAGAATATTTCAGAGGACCATAGCTATGACTGCTAAGCCTCTTTTCACAAAACCTAATCAAGCACCATGGGTAGATATAGGCTTAAAATGATGATAATTTATTTTGGTTTTTGTCTTCAGGAAGTTAAAATAACTACACCACTGACTCAACACCCAAAAGAAAATTCAGAGGGTCAGGGATGGAACCTTGGGTTCCCCAGAGGCCACCTCAGTCACAGGGGAGGCCCATAGCACCGTCAAAGGATCGGGAACGAGGGCTTCAGAGAGATGGATGTCATAGGCCTATCCCTCACTCTCGGCACAATGGAGAGTGGTTCCACCAGTGGCAAGACCTCCGAGGGAGCCCCCAGCCACAGCAGGATCCCAGGGCAGGCCACCACCAGCTTCAGCATCCACACAGGCTTGGGGAGTGGCATCAACCTGTGTCTGGGATTGACTGTTACGAAGGTGGTTATTCTATATATTCAAGGTATGGTTTTAGGGCTTGGAATGGACCAGCTCTCCTAAATGCTTATGAACAAATTGTTATTTTCCTTCTTCCTTTTCCTTTTATTACTCCTCTTTTTCTTTTTCTTCCTTATTCACTGTTACAGATTGAACTGTGTCCCACAAAAATATGTGTTGTAAATCCTAACCTCTAAGCCTATGGTTATAATCCCATTTGGGAATGGGTTGTGTTTGTTATGTTAATGAGACAGGATTAGTGTAGGATGTGTCTCTGGTCAGTCTCTTCTGAGATATAAAAGAGATTAAATGCAAGCTAGCAAACAGAGATGGATGAAGAGAGATGCCAAGCCACATGAAGATCACCTAGGAGGAGAAGCTCTGAAAAGACAAGGACCTTCCTCCAGAGCAGACAGAGAGAGAAAGCCTTCCCCTAGAGCTGGTACCCTGAATTCAGATTTCTAGCCTTCTAAACTGTTAGAAAATAAATTTCTATTTGTTAAAGCCATCCATTTGTGGTATTTCTGTTATAGCAGTACTAGATAACTAAGACATTCACCCTACTACATTGCCTTAGCTAAACCCAAATTGTTTTTGGGAGACTGAAGACAATTATCTACCTAGTGGGGCTTCTTAAGGAAGTCTCATCATTGATTGGGTTAGAAAGAATGATGACATTTGAGACAGCAGACAGGACCTGGTATTGAATGAATGAGTGGGAACTTTTTTTTTTTTTTTAAAATCAACCTCAGAGAAAGTAGATACAAACTTGCATGTTCCAGGTTCATAAGGAAGAGGTCTCAGTGACCTAATTCCATGTTGGAGTATCTGGAATTTGCTGATCCTGAGTTCTAGTGATTATACTAGAGTTGGTATTTCATGGGATGTTGGAAGCTATCAATGTTCTCCTTTAGCTTTTCCAGGTGGGGTGATATTTACCTGTCTGCAGATTTAGGGTAGAAATTATGACAATTATGTTAAGACATTTTGCCCTATGAAATGCTAAAGAATTTTTAATTGATAACTGCACTAACTACATCACTTTCCTTTTCCCAATCCCTTTTGGACTGTTGAATTCTCAAAGAGAGAGATATTAAGGAAAGCAGCAATAGAAGTATTTAATTGCTTAAATCAGATTTAAGATAGTCCAACTTGATCTTTTAAAATCTCATTTCCATCTGTACTATGCATTGAAATTATAATGATAAACTGGGTACTTGCACGATCATCTCATGAAGGGGTTTTCTAAGATAACATCAAAGCAGAGTTTTCTCATTATATTACTGGATATGTGTATTCTGGGAGCAAGAAGAAAACAGAAAAGAGAATAAGACACTTGGTTATGGTTTTACTATAAAAGTACAGGCCTTTGTTTTTTAACAGAGACTTTCCTCATGGTCTGATTCTGGATCTTCCGTGTATATGATTTAGAATTAATTTTGGCTTTCAAGCTGATTCTATATTGGGGTTACAGTTCTGAACTCTGTACTTGTTTAGTTTGTCAAATCTGTCATTGGTGTCTCTCTTTACCATGCTCGTCTTCAAATGACTGGCAGTCTTTGTGGTGTTTTAGGACAGGCTATGAGAATCCATATCAGAGCTATCATTCTCCAACCCTAAGGGAAGAATATGCTTATGGAAGTTATTCCTATCATGGACTTCCACAGAAGCTACTGGAAGAAAGAGGTATGGAATAATCTACAAGAAGCCTTTGGGATTTGGGGATGGTGAAGCTGGTCTAATAGGCAGGGCAGAGACCCAAGGGGCCATGCTCAGAGCCTCATCTTGGGCAACCAACTGGGCTAAAGTAGAGGCCCTCCTTTCCTTCTTTCTTGACCAGATGAGACCGAGATAAGTCATTACTCCTAGATGTCTTGAGGAGAAGCAATAGGAAGGAATTATCTCCTTTTGCACAGATAGATGATGGTACTGAAATCACTCTCATTATGTTACTAGTAGTATGGATAGTTTGCAATTCACCTACATTTTTTTCATACTTATCCTTGTAGCTGAGGTTATAGTCTCTGATCAAGTAACAGTGAAGTCAGTTCTCAAGGGCATCAATTGTGTTGCTGGGCTGCAACCACCCAAGGGTATGAGTCTGACCTTCACTTCACCCTAAACACAGATCTCAGGCTCTGGCCCATTTATGCAGAGGGCTGGGCAGCAGATGTGCCTAAACAGGAGTTTTCAAACCCTACACTAATATTAAGGTTTTTGTGTGTGCTATAGACAGCTTCCGACCTGCTAACAGAGAGAGAAATCTGTTTCAACAATAACAACAACAACACACACACACACACACACACACACACACACACCATGATCCCTGCCATTGTGCAATTACATACCAGTACCAGTTGCCATCTCATGATGACCCCATATGTGTCAGAGTAGAACTGTGCTCCATAGAATTTTCAATGGCTGATTTTTTTGGAAGTCGATCACCCGGCCTTTCTTTTGAGGCACCTCTGGGTGGACTTGAATTTCCAATCTTTCATTTCAGTTAGGAGCCGAGTGTGTCAACCATTTGCACCACCCAGGGACTCCATAGTATTGTATAGAAGCATGCTAATTGGTTCAGAGAGGACTGAGGGGTATATTAGGGACTTTCATCTTAGATCTCACCCAGCAATTTAATTCAATTTAGTCAACATGTTTTTTTTTTTTTTTAAATACTGTGTTCCAGTAACTCAGCATTACAACTTGCTAGTGTCTTTCTGAACTTTCAGAAAGGTGACCTGTCTTTGTTTTGTTTTCTCTGAGGGTGCAGTTCCAAGGCAAGGGAGTTCTTATGCCTGGCATGAAGATTACCAAGACCAAAAGTACCTCAAAGAACATCATTATGAAACTCAGAATAGTTCGTTTGGAACAAATAATGAGACCCAATTTCAGTAAGTGTAAAAGGAGGGGCCAGTTCAGCATAATTCAACCAAACTTAGACTACGTTATGCAAATCTTACAGCATCTGGTGCTTGGTCCCTCATCAAACAGCCAGTTTGGTTTTGTTCTAGGATATGGGATTAGATCAGGATGGCCCATGCCAGCTGTTAGCACTGACGTTGGGAGGAGAGATTTGTATCTCCGGGAGGCGGTTCTAGGACCTGAGCTAGTTTGGGGCCTGTGAGACTACTACCCTAAAGGAGGGCCTTAATTCCATGTTGGCCTCAGAACAGATGTGGCATGGCAAAAGTTCTCATGATTGGGTCCTGCCTGGGGCTGGGGTGCTTCTCTTCTGCCCACTCCTGTGCCCTGAGACTGGGGTGTTCCCCCCGGGATAAGGCAGAGCAGAGAGGAGATTTTTGCTGCAGCATCCGCCGAGTGCTCTTACCCTAGTGCCTTTACCCGGGAGCTCACTGATCTCTGTGCTCTGATTTAAGCCATTCCAGGCTGTCAGGCTGCAGATACCAGCCCTTCTCCACAGGGTCTGAGGCTACTTCAGTAACTGCACTATGGAACATGAGAGCTCCTGTTTTTCTGCTATTAATAGATTGAAGTGGGGAATGGGAGGGAAATGCATTTCCCTGTGGCACACAGGCCGACCTTACACTTGCTCACACTTTTAATAAGCACAGCAGTCTCCAGCTGAGAGCATCTCAGCCCTGGACCCCCTCTCACCCACTCCTGTCATTTTGCTGCAGATCTAAGAATCGGAACTGTTACAGAGACAGTCCTGCTTCCAACTCTGGACAGGAGAGGCCTGGAGAGGTGTTTCCAGACAGCCTGCTGCCTGGGGCCCAGAAGAGTAAGGTAACCTGAAGTGACATGGGGGTAGTGGCCTGTGACAGCACATCACAGCTGGTGTTGTCAGCAGTGGCAGGATAGGGCCCTTGGGGCTGGGGGGCTCCAGTGGCCAGCAGACTGAGAGGTGCCGTTCCTCCCCTTTCGGTGGAGCCTCTCCTCATGCCTCCTCCCTTTCCCTGCCTTCCTGCTTCGATCTTATGGATCTTGTGCCCTGATCTGACCCTTCTGTATTTATGTCAAAGTGGCTCAGTCAGAAAATGTCACCAAGTTACTCTGAGGTTCTAGGAAAGAGGAGAAGAGGCTGCAGCCAGGTGTTAGGGTTTGATTCTCTGGAACCCCAATGGACTGGCAATTTGTTTTACACAGGAAGTTCGAAGTTCTTAGAATCATTTAATTCAGGTCAGAAAGCAGGACTTGAAGCCATTCCTAACTCTTCTGCCCCTGTCCTCTAAATTCTTACTCTGTGTACCAGTTGGGCCACAAAATGAAGCTTTTAACAAATGTATTATTTTGGAATAATTTTAGATTTATGGAAAAGTTTCAAAGATGCCACAGAGATGAGCTCTTAATCTTTGAGAGTTTTATATTAATTTTGTCCCCATGATTAAATTATTTGATTTTTTGAGGGCAGTTTCTTTGGTATACCTAGTGGTTACCAGGGCAGGGCACATGTTATAATGACTGATGGTAACAACAACACAATAACAGCAACGACAACACACGTGTACAGCACTTAACAGTGTACAAAGAGCGCTCACATCCACTGTTTTACTTGTATGTTCCTAGAATGTAAGTGCCATGAGGGCAGGGACTTTATTTTCTTGCATACCACTGTATCCTAAGGGTAAGGCACAATGCCTGCAGCATAGTAGGTGCTCAGTCAATAGCTGCTGAATGAATACATGAGTAAATTCTTGAGGTGTATAGGGTAGGTGGAGGGGGCATTGGTAGTTCAGTGGTAGAATTCTCACCTTCCAGGTGGGAGACCTGGGTTTAATTCCCAGCCAATTCACCTTATGTACAACCACCACCCATCTGTCAGTGGAGGCTTGCATGTTTCTATGATGCTGAACAGATTTCAGTGGAGCTTAACACTAAGATGACTAGGAAGAAAGGCTGGTGATCTACTTCCAAAAATCAGCCAGTGAAAACCCTATGGATCACAGAGGTCTGATTTGCAATTGATCACAGAGATTGCACGAGATTGGGCAGTGTTTGATCCATTGTTCATGGGGTCACCATGAGTTGGGGGCTGACTCAACGGCACTTAGCAACAACGTGGGGCAGGTATGAGCATATATGTTACAGAGGAGGGTGTTGAGCTCAGAGGGGCTAAGTCCTTTGCCTAAGGTCACAGCAGCTAGGTATTAACAAAGCTGAGATTTGAATTCAGGCCTCCTGACCCTAAGAACTACACTGTTTCCACTAGGCCATAATGTGTCCCTCAGTAAATTCCTGTCAATTGAATAATCCCTTCTTCTCGTTTCATCACATTCATTTTCACTGCATTTGTTTGAAAATTGGAATTTTGTGTCTTTGAAGGGCCATGGGTGAAGACCAGCTCCCTGAAACTGCTTTTGATTCTTCCCATGTGTTTTCGTTGTTTTTACCTTTCAGCCATCATTGACCAGCGAGTCCAACCTTCTGCAGCAGCACGAGTCTGGTCTCAGCTCCAGCAGCTATGAGCTCAGTCAGTACATGGTGGAAGCTTCTGAGCAGTATGATCCTATGGCTTCAGCAGTTTGGAGTCCAATTCAGGCTGGTGGGTACTAAGTGATCAAAGGATTTGGTTAAGTCTGATGAGGAAAGGGCTGGGTGGCAAGTCTCTTGGAAAATCACCCTTAGGCTGTGTTTCCAAGAACAAACCACTGTCTGCCTCGTTTGCTTCTGTGGTCTCCTTGGCAGAGGCCAACTGGATGGCTCCATTTCCAACATTTCCTTTGTACTGGCAATTGCACCATAGCTGATTCTTGGAAGGGGACACTGCCCCTAACCATTATCAGGCTGTGTAAGAAGCACTGAAAAGTGTTTGAAATAATGGGTGAGGAAAATAAAGACCAGAGAGAACTACGTAAAGCAAAGGCAGGACAGAAGGTACAATTGCTTGGTCTAGTGTGGAAAACTCTTTTCATGTGTAGAGGGACTGTGAAAGCCGGGGAGTCTACCAGAGCCAGAGACCCCTGGGCCTCTCACCATCATTGGGAGACCAGGCCTGAAGGGTTATCATTTAGACCAAATCATTAAATCCTTGCATTATATTCTGATGTATTCTTAGAGCCTTAAATCTAACTTTGAGCATGAGCCTTCTGAAGTTATGTCCCTACACAGAATCTTGTCTGGGTGGAATTTGGACAGATAATATGTTTTTGGCATGTTTCTAAACTAAAGAAGCAGTGGTGGGACTGCTAACAGTGTTCATCTGTGTCTGTTGGTCAGAGGATGTCTCAACAGCTGGTCCCAAGGCCCCCATGAAGTTCTACGTCCCCCATGTGCCTGTGAGTTTTGGACCAGGAGGTCAGCTGGTGTGTGTGGGTCCAAGGTCTCCCACTGATGGGCAAACAGCCCTTGTTGAATTGCACAGCATGGAGGTAAACAAGATTCTGTGCCCTTGGAATGCCAGCGTGCTACTCACCCAACTACTCTTAACATACTTCCTTTCCCAGGCATCTCCAGGAATGGGGCACTTTGGTGAGGAACTGGGCCATGCATTCCCTGGGTTTGGGGGTACAGGAAGTGGGGGTGACTCTTTTCTGGAAGCAGTGATGCTAGAGTTCTGTTTTTTCCTGAGATGTTAATGACTTATCTTCAGCAACAGGATAACTCCCTTTGGTCTGTCTACCGCCTCCACAAGGCACTGACAGTATCCTAGGACAACATCCCCGAGTTCTGACGCTGGGCTTGACTAACAGGGGCATTGGGTGGACATAGTCTTAAACACCAAATCTGCTTTTTTTGTTCCAGGTTATTCTTGGTGACTCTGAGGAACAAGAAGAGATGAGAACTTTCTCAGGACCCCTGATCAGGTGCACTGCTGCAAGAGCTGCTGAGGAAGGGCTCTTGAAAGTTAGAAAACCTTTCTGCCCAGATCAGCACTTGGGGGATTTGTTCTTAGCTCTCTTGGAAGAAAATGTTTACCCTGTTGGAGTAGAATTCTCTGTGCTACGATAGAGTCTAATGTGGCTGGAGCCATTTTGTCAAGAGGTTCTATAGTTGAAGGGCAGAAAGAAAAATTAACATAAAAATTAAAAAATCTAAAATCAGTTCTATTTTGCAGAAGTTATGTAGTAGGAAGTTTTAGCATTCAGTGTGATTAATAGATATTAGTAGAGAAGCAGAGCAGCACCTGGGAAATCATAGACAAGGGGATCATAGTGAAAAAATTCTTGCAACAGTGGCCTTTTTTTGGAGAACTTGTCAGTTTAAGCGTTGGAGTTACTGAACAGTGTCCAAGTCTGCCCTCTTCAGGAATGAGCTAGAACTGCTTTTAAATTCCTTGTCATGCTTTTGATAAATATATTCAGGATGCTGTAGTGGCGCAGTGGTTAAGCACTTGGCTGCTAACTGAAAGGCTGGCAGTTTGAACCCACCAAATGCTCCACAGGAGAAAGATGTGGCAGTCTGCTTCTGTAAAGATTTACAGCCTTGGAAACCCTATGAGGCAGTTCTACTCTGTCCTACAGGATCGCTATGAGTTGGAATCAACTCGACGGCAATGAGTTTTTGGGTTTTTGTTGTGGAGAGAGTCCTGGCTGGATGCCCGAGGACCTAGGACCCAAGCCCGGGTATCCTACTAACTAGTGGGTCCATGTGGTGGACAGATCAGTTAGCTCTCTGAGCTTCAGCTTTTTCATCTGAGAAATGATGTAATGTCCACTCTGTCTACTCCAAGTGGTAGCTGGGAGACTCAAGTGAGATAAAACTCTTTATATAGCATCCCTGCTCTATAAATCTAATGTTATTCTGAAGTGACTACCGCCCAAGAATATCCTCATATAGTATTTTGACAGCCCTTTCAATTAAAAATGATTGTTGTCTCTCTTCTGGGGATACAGATGTGGGGTAGACCACCGAGTTGGGTACTAGAACACTAGGGTACTGGTTCCAACTTGGCTTTGATTTTATTAAATGAGTGTGAGCAAATAATAATGCCTATTTATTGAGCACTTAATATTTGCCACACACAATTTTCTAATTCATCTTCGTATGGAGGTAGGTTTTTTTATTATCCTCATTTTAAGGGGAAAAATTGAGTCTTAGAGAAAATAAGTAACTTGTCTAAAGTGAAAAGTGGTAGAACCAGATTTAAACCCAGGATCTGTGTGACTTTAAAGTCTGCTGTCTTATCTGCCACCCTATGCAGTCACTTCAAGGCCTCAGTGTCCTCATCTTCAAAATGGGGGGGATGTAGGAGATAATCTCTGAAGTCCTTTCCTGTTGTATAGACTCATCACCCCAGCCTGGGGTTGTCAGGCTTCTATCTAAATCTCAGCCCAACCAGTGGCTCTCATACTGGGGTCCTGTACAGGGAAGTGTCCACCCACTCACTCTTTGCTCCCTGAAATCTCCCATAGGGAAGATGTACACAAGGTGGATATCATGACGTTTTGCCAACAGAAAGCAGCTCAGAGCTGCAAATCAGAGACACCGAGGAGCAGAGACTTGGCTCTGCTGTGGCAACTGCTGGTTCTCCTTTGTCGGCAGAATGGGGTAAGTATTACTGCTCTGATGGGGGTAGGCAGGTGTAGACTGGACTGAAATTTAACTCTTTTTGGGATGGATGAGGAGTAGGCCTGTGGTATGATTGTGAACACAATATTTAACAAGTGAGCAATTGCCCCAAGGGAAAAATTTCTCAAATATCACCACCAGTTTGCTAACGCTAACTGTTCCTCTGTTCCTCCCCACTGAGTGGAGATTTTCGTCCAGTTCTTGGGCTGTTACACCAGCCAGGTAACACACCTATGAAACTGTGAATATTTCTGGTAACCTTTGTGGCTTCTGGCAGGGTGAAAATAACCATGATAGTGTAGCTGAATTTTGACATTCAGAAACCCAAGAAAGGACTGCTTTGTGTTTGTGTTTGCATGACTGGCCTCCTTATGAAGACGCACGATGCTCTGGTGCCTTCCTTCCCCAGCCTGGGATGCTAGCAAGCCTAAGAGGGTTCTCCCCCTAGGATGACCCCCTTTGCCTTGCAGTCCATGGTGGGATCTGACATAGCTGAGCTGCTGATGCAAGACTGCAAGAAGCTGGAGAAGTACAAGAGGCAACGCCCTGTGGCCAACCTCATCAACCTGACGGATGAGGACTGGCCAGTGCTGAGCTCAGGGACCCCAAACCTGCTCACTGGGGAGATCCCCCCAAGTGTGGAGACACCTGCGCAGGTTGTGGAGAAATTCACAAAACTGCTCTACTATGGAAGAAAGAAGGCAAGTATGCCCTGCCTAATGCTTGTTTTATGCTTTTAGAAAAGTAACTACCATCTCTCCCCATCACTCACCCCTCCTTCAATTTTATGAGTATTATACACTCATCCTAGAGCATTTGGAAACTTCAGAAAGGTACAAAGAAGAAAATAAAAACACCAGTAATCCTACCATTAAAAGATAACTGCTGTTAACATTTTAAAAAATTTATTTATTTTGTTTTTGTTGTTGAGAATATATACAACAAAACATACACTGTTCAACAGTTTCTACACGTACAATTCAGTGACTTTGATTATATTCCTCGAGTTGTGCAACCATTCTCTCCCTCCTTTTCTGAGTTTTTCCTCTCCCATTAACATAAACTCACTGCTGTCTAAGTCTCCTATCTAGTAACTTCACGTTGCTGTTGGCAGTTTGATCCCAGATAGTTCTTAAAAGAGCATAATGTTCAAGGCGATATTTTTTACTAGTTAAGCTTAACTACTGTTTGGTTTAAGAAGACTTCAGGGGATATTTTTGGTTTAAGGTTTAAAGATTATCTCAGGGCAATAGTTTCAGGGCACTGTTAATGTTTTGATATCTCTAAATCTTAGCATTTTGCTATGCACACATATATACATTTCTATGCACGTTAAATTACATATACAAATTTTTTTCACTTAACATTATATGCTGAAATATCCCCATGGCGTTAGGTATGCTTTAAAACACCATTTAAAAGCAATGATTAAACAATATTCCATTATGTGAACGTATCATATTGTATTTAACAAATCTGCTATTGTTGAATATTTAGGCTGTTTACAATTTTGTCACCCATTATAAGTTATGCCATTTGAAATCTTGTTATATGTCTTTGGCTGATCTTTTTATTATTTCTTTAGGATTGATTACTAGAAGTGGATTTAGTGGACTAAAGTGGTAACAAAATTTACCATTTTAAAGGATACCATTTAGTGGTGTTAAGTACATTCACATTGTTGTGTGCCTATCACCACTATCTAGTTTCAGAACTTTTTATTACTCCAAACCAAAACCTCATACCCATTAAGCAGTTTTTCCCCATTGCCATCTCCCGAGACCCTGGCAACCACTAATCTGTCTGTCTATGCGTTTGCCTGTTTTGGATAGTTCAGAAAATGGAATCATACAATATGTGGCTTTTTGTGAATAGCTTCTTTCACTTACCATAATGTTTTCCAGTTTCATTCATGTAGTGGCATGTATCAGTGCTTCATTTCTTCTTATGACCTAGTAATATTCCATTGTATGTATGTACTACATTTGTTTATCCATTCATCTGCTGATGAGCGTTTGGGTTGTTTTCATCTTTTGGCTATTAGGAATAGAGCTGCCATGAACATTTGTGTACAAGTTTGTGTATGAATACCTGTTTTCCGTTCTTTTGGTATTGTTATGGATTGAATTCTAACAGAAAATAAATTTCTGTTAAAGCCACCCATTTGTGGTATTTCTGTTATGGCAGCACTAGATAACTAAGACAGATATGTATCTAGGAGTGGAATTTCTGGGTCATATGGTAATTCTATGTTTAACTTATTCAGGAACTGCCAAATTGTTTTCCCCAGTGACTTCATTGTTCCCTCCCTCCCTCCTTCCCTTTCCTTCTCCCCTTCCTCCCTGCCTCTCTTCCTTCCTTCCATGACCATCCTAGTGGATGTGAAGACATATCTTATTGTAGTTTTGATTTGCATTTCTCTAATGACTAATGTCGTTGAACATATTTTCCTTTGCTTGGCCATTTGTATTTCTTTTTTGGAGTAATGTCTGTTCAAGTCCTTTGCTCATTTTTTAAATTGGCTGTTTGTTTTTTATTGTTGAGTTGTAAGAGTTCTTTATATATTCTGGATACTACACCTTTTAATGCACAAAATTTTAAAATTTTGATGAAGTACAATTTATCTTTTTTTTTCTCTTTTGTTGCTTGTGCTTTTGGTGTCATATTTAAGAAATCATTGCCAAATTCAAGGTCATAAAGAATTGTTGCTATATTTTCTTCTAAAAGTTTTATAATTTTAACTCTTAAATTTAGGTTTTTGATCCATGTTGAGTTAATTTAAGTATATTGTGTGAGGGAAGATTCCAACTTCATTCTTTTGCCTGTGAATATACAGTTGTCTCAGTGTCATTTTTTGGATAGACTATTCTTTCCCAAATGAATGGTCTTGGCACCCTTTGCCAAAATCTATTGGACTCTCAATAGATTATTTTTGGACTCCCAATTCTATTCCATTGACCTATGTGTCTGTCTTTAAGTCAACACCATACTGTTTTGATTACTGTAGGTTTATAGTAAGTTTTGAAAAGGGTATGCACTTTTAAAAAGGTTGTATAGATGAACAAAGGTTGTTTACAGATGATACTTTTACCAGCTGTATCTAAGCTATGCCTACCAGTATTGAATTGTTTAGTTCAACAGATAGAGTGATATCTTATTTAATTTTGAAGTTGAATTCACATTTTACAAAAATAATACAGTGAGTTAAAATATTTGAATATATTCACGTAATTCAAGAATTGAAATTTAAAGGGATATAATAAAGAACACCTTCCATCTCCCAGCCACCTGATTTCTCTGTCTGAAATATACAGAGTTATTTTCTGCACGTATAATTACTTCTCCTTTTTTTTACTTTATAGCATGTAGTTGTTGTTGTTAGGTGCCGTCGAGTCGGTTCCGACTCCTAGTGACCTTATGCACAGCAGAATGAAACACTGCCCGGTCCTGTGCCGTCCTCACAATCGTTGTTAGGCTTGAGTCCACTGTTGCAGCACTGTGTCAGTCCACCTCGTTGAGGGTCTTCCTCTTTTTCACTGACCCTCTACTTTACCAAGAATGATGCCCTTCTCCAGGGACTGATCCCTCTCGATAACATGTCGAAAGTATGTGAGACGTAGCCTTGCCATACTTGCTTCTAAGGAGCATTCTGGCTGTACTTCTTCTAAAACAGATTTGTTCGTTCTTTTGGCAGTCCATGGTATATTCACTATTCTTCACCAACACCATAATTCGAAGGCATCAGTTCTACTCTATAGCATACTATATGCCATTTCTGCATATTACAAATATCAATTTTTTCATTTAACAAAATATATTAGAAAACACTCTATATCAGAGGTTGGCAAACCCTTTTTTTTTAAAGGAACAGATAGTAAATATTTTAGGCATTGCAGGCTGTAGGGTCTCTGTTTCAACTACTCAGCTCTGCCATTGTAGTGTGAAAGTAGTCCTAGACAATACATAAATGAATGAGTGTAGGCATGTTCCAATAAAACTTTATTTATGGACATGAAAATTTGAATTAAGTAATTTTCATGTCACAAAATACATATGTATATTTTATTTTTCCCAACCATTTAAAAACAGAACTATTCTTAGCCTTAGGCGGTGGGCTGGATTTGGCCCTCAGGCCATTGCTTGCTGACCCTTGCTCTATATCATACATAAGAGTTTTCTCATTATTTCTTATGGCTGCACAGTGTTCTATGGGTAAATTATAATTTGTTTAATGAAACCCCTATAGATTGACATTTAGATTTTTTCCGATCCTTTGCTGTTACAAGCCATGCTACAATGAATTGCCGTTATTATTTTGCCCAGTGTGAGAGAATATATATAAGATAAATTCCTAGAAGTGGAAATATTGGGTCAAAGGGTATGTGGTTTTTAATTTTGATAGATATTGCAAATTGCCTTTTTAGAGATTGTACCAATTTACCGTACCAGCAGTGTAGAAGGGTGCATGTTTTCCCACATCCTTACCATCCCAGTGTGTTTTCAAGCTTTTCAATATGTGCCAATCTGAGAGGGAGAAAAATCTTTTGTAATTATTTGCATCTTTCTTGTTATGAATGAAGTTGAGTATCTTTTTATCTGTGAACTTTTGTTTTCATGTATTTTTCATGTTTTCCTATTGAGTTTTTGCTCTTTGCTCTATGATTTGTAGGAGTTCTTTACATTTTAAGACTTCCTGTCCCAAGTCACAAATTGTGCTTGAACGTGACCTGGGTTGCAAATATTTTCTCTGTTTTAAAAAAAATTTGTCTTTCACTTTGCATATGCAAAATTATTTTTTATTTTTATATAGTTGCATTTATCCATCTTTATTTTATGATTTTTGGGGTCATACTTAGGAAGGTTTTTCCTACTTCAAATTAATTTATAAAAGTAAAGTTCAAGTACTTTTGTGACTTCCTTTTGTATTTAAACCTTTTAATCTCTTGGATTTCTTTTCTTTTTTTGGTTATGCGATGTTATCTTTTAAATGAGTTCTAGAAATGGTACCCAGTGAAAGTTAGCGGGATCAGATTATAGTCATTTCCTACATATATTCAATATATATTAGGAACTTGCCATTTTACCCGTGATTAATTTATTCAATAAACATTTTTTAAGCAGCTGCTACTTCTAAGGTACTGAACCATACCTTAGTGGGGGATACCAAGATAAATCAGTTATGATCTCTGCCTGTAAGAAAAATAAGTGATGACTATAACAACAGTGGAACCCTGGTGACATAGTGGTTAAGAGCTTGGCTGCTAACCAAAGATCAGCAGTTTGAATCCACCAGCTGCTCCTTGGAAACCTATGGGGCAGTTCTACTCTGTCCTTTAGGGTCTCTGTGAGTCGGAATTGACTCGTCGGCAATGGGTTTGTTTTTTTTTTTTTTATAACAACAACAACAATAACAAAAGCAAATATTTCTTAAGTACTTTTTACCTGCCAGGCACTTGCTTAAGACTTTACATGCATCATCTCATTTAATCTTTATACAAATCCTGTAAGTTATATCTATTCTTGCTCTGCTTATTCAAAGATGGGGAAAGTTAGTAAGGGATAGAGACAAGGTTTATATCCAGGAAGCCTGAGGCCTGAGCCTGTGCTTCTAACCACTCCACCACACTGCTTTTCAGAACTTGACCCAAAGGTAAGCAAGGAATAGATAGAGCACTGCAGAGTTCAGGGGTTTCATGAAGGAGTGGGATATAAAAATACCTGTAAAAGTTTGTTAATATTTTACTGGGTCTTATTTCTGGCAGTATGTGAGATTGATAGACCTTGATAAAAGTTCTCAAATTTCTTCAGTTAGTCTTAAGTATATTTTTGGAGAGGCAGGTTTTTGAATAAACTGATGATTCCTAACCAAGCACTAGTAACTCTTTTTTTTTTTTTAATAGTTATTATGAGATGGTTTAAGCATACAAAAAGAGTAGCTTTTAATGTCATTTTTTTACTTGCACTGGATGTGAGGCTGAATTCCCTAACTGTGGTTTGTTTGAATTTCTTCTCTTTTTCATTAATGTTCATTCATTTATTGATTTTCACTCTCCTTCTCTCCAATGAAAATACATTTGGAGGTGGAATCACCTCATTAGTGACTTCCTATTCAAAAATCACATTATTTTTTGGCACCAAGGAAATTAGGTCCTTAGTAAATACTTCTGAAAATAAAATGAATAGGAAAATGTTTGGTTTTCTTTGATTTGTTACCCTAACCTATCTTACCCAGTTAATGGTGTCATTAATTTGGTACATGAAGGCATCTGATAGCTAACTTGTAATTAGTTGCAGTAATAAGTGGAGTAGGTTGCCACTGGCTAGTATGTGTACTGGCTTAGTGAGGACATTAGTGGTTCAGTGATAGAATTAGAGTTTGTACCAATTTACCCTCCCATGTGGGAGACCTGGGTTTGATTCCTGCCAGCGCACCTCATGTGCGGCCACCACCTGTCTATCAGTGAAGGCTTGCGTGTTTCAGCAGAGCTTCCAGACTAAGACAGACTAGGAAGAAAGGCCTGGAAATCTACTTCCGAAAATAAGCCAATAAAAACGCTATGGATCACAATGGTCTGATCTGCGACCCATCGTTTTGTTCCATTGTGCATGGGGTTGGCACGATTTGGGGGCAAACTCAATGGCAGCTAACTACAGCAACAAATACCAGATTAAATAGTAACTGTAGTTTTTTTCTACTCATGTAAGAGTACTGTACTGGGCAGGTCTCCTCCACGTAGTCATTCCGGCACTCAGGATGTTGGAGGCTCTTCCATCTTTACCGTGTAGTCCTCTCCATTTTATACAACTAGATGGAGAAAAGGACATGGAGGATTTCATGTGGGTTGTTTTAAGGGTCAAACCTGAAAGTGGCACATCTCACTTCCATTCCATTGCATTGCCTAGAACGCAGCCATACCTGGGTGCAAGGCAGGTGGGAAAATGTAGTCTAGCTCTTTGTCCAGGAAGGAGAACATGGATTTTGGTGAGCAACTAGTAGTTTCTGCCACTGTTGTTAACAAAGACACTGTTCTTTTAATATACCCTGTATGAATACAATTTTGCTACTTGTGTTTTGAGATTCAATCCCTGGGTTGAAGTGCTTTCCTCAGTTTTAGTTCCTCAGCTTAAGTTCATAAAAGTATTTTCTGAGTTTTGCTAAGGAGATAAGGTTAACTGCAACTATATTTGATGGGAAGCTAATGAAATAACCTAGTGGATTTTGATAAGGTGAAGAAGGGTACAACCTAGAGAGAAATACTGTCCCTGTTACTTCCCCTCTACTCCTTCTTCATATGTGAGGCCCTAAAAGAGTCTTCCTGGAAGTCCAGCCTCTGCTGCTTGGGGTGCCACGGTATGTAAACTTAGTAGGTTCTTGATTGATTGATTGTTGTCGTTGTTGTTAGAGGAAGGTGAGTAAGCCAATACTGAGTGTGATGTGTCTGGTTTTCAGGAAGCCTTGGAATGGGCCATGAAGAACCACTTGTGGGGCCACGCTTTGTTCCTGTCCAGCAAGATGGACCCAAGGACCTACAGCTGGGCCATGAGTGGGTGAGTCAGGGCCTATGCAAAGGAGGCCAGTGGAGCAGAGAGGTCTTCCCAGCAAAGGTGGGGGTGAGGGTGGGAAGAAATGAAAGTAGAACTCAGAACCCCACATTCCAAGCATCTTCTCAATTTCTCTTTTCTGAGATGAATGTAGCCTTTCCCTTCTCCAGATTCTTATAACCTAGACACAGTTACATTTGTTTCTACCTGCTAAGTTGAACCAAACATTTGAGTAATTTTCCAGGGTTGGAGTTTCAAAAAAATTGAATAAATTTGTACATTGTTGTAGTCTTCTTTCTTTGTGAGTGGCTACTCTAGCTCATTCCATCAGTGAGGGAAGAGATGATCACTTAAGCATAATTGACAGAGCCTTAGGACTGAGGGTTTTTGATATATGTAATTGTCTACTTCTTAGTCTTGCAGTGTGGACCAGGATACTGAGAAATAGGTCGATATGGCTTGGAATCGACTCGATGGCAATGGGTTTGTTTTTTTTTTTTTTTTTGGTGTGGTGTAACAGGATGGTGAGCTGTGGTAGGAAACAGAGTTTATAGGACTGGGAATTAGATCTGGAAGTCTTCATCAAGGTCAGTGGGAGAGATATTGAGACTGAAGAAATGTACTTAGTTAGAAATCATGGTGGCACGCTAAGATCTGGATGCTGAGATGGAGTCAGGAAGATAGAAGAAGATGTACAATGCCCAGACCAGGAGCAAACAGAGACTGAGGTGAGGGTACAGAGCCAGGAGTTTGGAATTGGGAAATGAAACAGAGCAAAAGAAAATCAAGATAAAATGGAGGTGGTAGGTGTAGAGGGTACTGGAGAAGGGTTTGTGAATAAGGCCTTCAGGCTTGGCCATAAATCCTATTGGACAAACAGTTGGATAAAAAGACAGACGCCTCCACTTTAAGATCAGTCTGTGGGCCTAATGGTTGCCACACTACCTAGCAGCTCATTATTCATGTTGGCCTTCGTTACTTGAAACCTCAGTCTTCCCAGGGACTAGGAAGTAACATCACTGCACACTTCATTATTTTCAGACTCTGGGATGGTGAGGAGCACTGAAGTTTTATTATGATAAGAGCTCTGAGCTCCTGAAGCAAGGGTGCTATTAAATAAAAGATGGTGTTCTGAGGAATGATTTTCCTTTGGGTTTTGGAAAGGAACATCCCCCAACCCCACATTATAGCACACATCTCTAGTACAGATTTTTGCCTTGGGCCATTGATTTTTGATGGAGCCCAATGAATTGTGAAAGATATCTCTTACTGAGTGTGCTTAAATCCCCTATCAGCTGTAGAGCTTATTATATCCTTGTTAAGCGTATCCCATGGTTTGTCATCAGCTGCATCATTTCTGGTCCCTGTTCCATGCCTCTTTGGTTATGGAAAATGGCTATTTCTTGCTTGTGAATAAAAACACTACAGACCCAGGCCTGTGATGAGCCAGAAAAATGACACTGAGAGCTCTGGGCTTGGAAAGGAGGAGGGATGTTGTGGAGTAGGAGTAGAGGGGTGGCTGGGAAGCAGAGGTCCACAGAGAAGAGCTTCCAGGTTAACCACTGGGACTTTCCAGGGGTCTTTTCAGATGATGGCAAGTCATCTCCGTGATAGAAGAAAGCATATAGAGATTGTTAACCAAGAGTTAGGGCATCAGTGCCAAAGTGCAGAAATATCCCCCAGCAATGAGATCTTCTTGGGGTGTATGGTGGAATGAAGATCCTGCTAGTCTTCACCAAATGGAGGATGTAACAAAGGCACGGTACAAAGCAAAGAGAAGCTCATGTTCCAAACAAAGCCGCTAAAATCAAATGGAAATAGGGAAGGTCTTTTCCCTCACTGGAAATGGGTAAAGAGGTTCTCTTGGCATGGTCCCAATGATGGTCACCTCTCTCTGCAGCTTTACCAGCACGCTGGCGCTCAACGACCCATTGCAGACCCTCTTCCAGCTCATGTCGGGGAGGATTCCACAAGCAGCCACGGTACCTGTCTTAGATTCCTAGTCAGTGGTGTCACTGGAGTTGGTGTCACCCAGTGCAGTAACTCATGGTGTCACCCCCTCCATGGGCAGGCTGGCTGGCGACCCCCACCCCCCAGGGGCGGAGTGGCCCTGCCCCTCCCACCACCACGCAGGGTCAAGTGCTGAGGTGTGTGGCCCCACCCCTCCTGACCTCCCCCCACCCCTACAGCTCTTCCCCTTTCCCATTGACCAAGGTAGAGGCCCTCCTCTCCACCAGTGGAGGGCACTATGGTCTGGCTGCCTGCACCCTGACTGGAGGGTGATGGGGGAGGGGGTGGTGATGAGTTACTGCATTGGTTGACACGAACCCTAGTGACTGGTGGGTGACAAGGGAGAGTGTGACACCAACCCTAGTGACAACACTGCCTTGATGGCCCATCTCCCCAAGACCCTGGCCCACTGCTGCTGCTGCCGCAGCCGTGGCTGCTGCTGTGGACCGTGGGGTCATTTTGGTGTCACCCCCTCTGATAGTGTCAGGGGGTGTGGTCCACTCCCCCTACATCCCTGTAGTGACACCACTGTTCCTGGTGCTGCTATAACAGAAACACCACAAGAGGGTGGCTTTAAAGAACAGAAATTTATTTTCTCACAGGTTGTTGTTGTTGTTAGGTGCTGTGGAGTCATTCTGACTCACTCTCACAGTTTAGGAGGCTAGTAGTCTGAATCAAGGCACTGGCTCTGGGGAAAGGTTTTCTCTCTGTCGACTCTTGGGAAAGATCCTTTTGTTTTTCAGCTTCTGTAGCCTCAGCGTTCCTGTTACTTGGAGATCTTCTCATCGCATCTATCTCCCCCCCTCCGCCTTTCTTTGTGCTTGCTTCTGTGTCAAATCTGCTCTTTTTATAACTCAAAAGTGATTAGGGTTAGGACACACCCTACACTGATATAGCCTCATTAACATAACAAAGAAAACCCTATTCCCGAACGAGATTACATCCACAGGTATAGGGATTAAGATTCTAACATATATTTTAGGGGGACACAATTCAATCCATAACATTCCAGGATTGTTGTTGTTGGGTGCCATCAAATTGATTCTGACTTGTAGTGACCGCACGTGACAGAGCAGAACTGCCCCACAAGGTTTTCTAGGTTGTCATCTTTATGGGAGAAGATCACCAGGTCTTCCTCCCATGGAGCCACTGGGTGAGTTTGGACCACCAACCTTTCAGTTAGCAGCCGAGTGCTTAACTGGTGTGCCACGAGGGTTGTTTCTCTGTCACAGTATCATTTGTGACAGGACTCCTTCAACACCCCAGCATCCTAAGGGTTTGGGGGTAGAGACTGCTCAGGAATGCAGTAATGGTTTTAATTAAGAATAAGTATTATTTATTAGTCACCTATCATGTGCCTAGAAACCCTGGAGGCATAGTGGTTAAGTGCTCAGCTGTTAACCAAAAGGTTGGCATGTTCAAATCCACCAGGCGCTCCTTGGAAACTCTATGGGGCAGTTCTGCTCTGTCCTATAGGGTCGCGGTGAGTCAGAATCAGCAATGGGTTTGGTTTTTTTTTGTATCCTGTCCCTGGCCCTGTGTTAAGCACTTTGATGTATATTATTTCATTTAACCCATGGAGGTAGGAGTTATTTTGCAGATGTGGAAACTGAGGTGCAAAGGTGTAGAGTAACCCAAGATCACACAGATAGTAGTAGAGTGAGGATCAGCCCAGTGTGTCTGATGCTAAAGACTTTGCCCTTTGCACAGTGCCACAGCTACCTCTCTCTACACCACAGTGGCCTGCTTCGTTGTGGACAGCAAGAGACCCCGTGACTGTTCTCCAGGCTTCCCACAGCAAAGTGATCCTTCTTTTCCCTTCAGGAAAGCATTTCCACCCCTGTGAATGATCCTTCAAAGCTGGATATATTTGATTTTGTATGTGTTGCTCCACTGTCTTCTAGAGTTGAATATGGCTGAGGAGAAGTCTGAGGCCAACTTAATATTTTTCCCATTTTAAAAGTCTTGGTCTTTTTGCCCCAAAGTATTACTTCCTTATTTTTTTTTCTTTTTTCTTTTATATATATATTTTATTGTACTTCAAGTGAAGGCTTACAGAACAAATAGTTTCTCATGAAACAGTAGTACACATGTTGTTTTATGACATTGGTTAACAACCCCACAAGATATTCACCCTCTAACTTCTCAACCTTTTTTTTTTTTTTTGGTGAAAATACACATAGCCAAAGATACACCGTTTCAAAAATTTCTATATGCACAGTTCAGTGACATTGACTATGCTCTTCCAATTGTGCTGTTATTCTCACTTAAGATGAAGGCTTACAGAACAAAATAGTTTCTCGTTTAACAGTTACTACAAATGTTGCCCTATGACAATGGTTAACAATCTCACAACACATCAACAATATCCTTACTCAACCTTGGGTTCCCTATCACCAGCTTCCTTATTTTTGAAGTCTGGTGATGTACTGTGCTAGGATATATTTTGGTGTTGACAGTCTAGATCAGTTTTTTTCTTGGGACAGAGCATGCCCTTTTAATATGAGTATTCATATCTTACAGTTCAGGAAATTTTTCTTGAATTATGTCCTTAAATATTTGTTTCCTTCTATTATTTTGGATTTCTTTTCATAAATTCTATGTACACATATTTCATATATATATATGAGAAATATATACATACATATACACAAACACATATATATGAATTGTAGTTATATAATTTTCTCTTTGATTTAAAAACTTTGTTTTGTGTGCTTCATTTCTCACTTTGCCTTTCTCGTTTCCATCCTCTCTGACCCTTCCTGTGTTTTTGTTAGTGTCTCTTCATTTTCGTGCTCTTTCCATTTGCACCTTTATTTCTTTGATTTTTCTCCCACTTCTTTCCTGAGCATTGCAGGTCACATTTATCTCCTCCTGTTGCCCACCATCTCTTTCCTGAGCTCTTGTAACTCAGCTTTATGCTTTTGCTTCATAGATAAATTGTTTCATTACGTTTCCCTTTATTTAAATTCATGATGAAATGTTTGGTGGCAGTTTTTCCTTTGTTCTGTGGTAACATTTTTCTGGTGAATGTTCTCTCTACCTTCCAGTTGTTTTTCATGTGACTTTTCTCCTTTGATCTCATAGTATATTTGTGCATATTCTGTGCTTACTCCTTTATATTAGGTACCTTTGAAGGAGTTGAGTCTTCCCTGGACCGATTATTTTTAGGAAATTTGTGTGGGGGAGGGGCCAGGGCCATGTTCCAGGCTGTCTGGTGATTTTTCCTCATGACCCAGCATTTTCCGTGTTAGTCCGCCTAGCCTGTACTTTCCCCAGCCAATGGAGGTAGCTGGGCTCCTCTCTCTCGCTGGTGTCCTCACTCTGCTTCCGCCTGAGCGCACCTCTCCATTGCTTTTGGCAGCACTTGCTTGTGTTTTGAGGCTTGGCTTTTAGCTGACGCATAGTTTTAATGAAAATAGACTTCATATTTTTGCTTTTTCATTCGTATTGCTTGTGGATAATTCCAAGAAAAGAAAACAAAAATGGTAACTTTAATGCCCCATCGTCAAATCAACTGCCTATATTGGAACACAGAGTGTGCCTCACAATTCAGCTGAATGCCTGTGCTCTGCAGTGAAATGGCATTGTGTTATGGAGCACTAAAGGCGTGGAATGATTTAATCAACGGTCCATTGGGTCTCACTTCAAAAGTAGAGTTAGCTAAATTTTCCATATATGTAGGTAAGAAAACTGCGGAGCCAGAGGTGATGTGCCAAGGTAATATTTGAACTTAGAGTTTATGAATTTCTTGTTGTTGTTGTCAAGTCCGCTCCCATGTACAGCAGAGTGAAACATTGCTTGGTCCTGCACCATCGTCACAATTGTTGGCATGCTTAAATCCACTGTTGCGGTCACTGTGTATTTTGAGTGTCCTTCAACCTAAGGGGCTCATCTTTCATCACTATATCAGACAGTATTTTGTTGCAATCCATAGAGTTTTCATTGGCTAATTTTCAGAAGTAGATTGCCAAGCCTTTCTTCCTAGTTTGTAAGTTCTGCTGGAACTTGTCCACCGTGGGTGACCTGCTGGCACAGTAGCATCTCAGTAACAAGGCTAGATTTTAGTTACATAGACTGTGTGGTGTTGTGGAAACAGCACGGCAACTGGAACCTTACAAAAGCCAAAACCAAATCCACTGTCATCGAGTTCATTCTGACTCATAGAGACCCTATAGGACAGAGTAGAACCTATAGGATGGACTGCTCCATGGGGTTTCCAAGGTTGTAAATCTCTATGGAAGCAGACAGCCACATCTTTCTCCTGTGGAGCTCCTGGTGGGTTCCAACCACTGATCTTTTGGTTAGCAGCTGAGAATGTAATCACTGCCATCACTGGGGCTCCTGGAATCACGCAGACATGGGTTTAATCACAGGTTTAATCTAGACTCTGCTCCTTATTGCTGCATGAACGTGCCTTGTTAGTTAATCTCACAGAGCCTTGTGGAAATCTTTGTGGAAATTTTCATACCTAGGCAATAAAGTTAGTGTGAAAATGAAAGGAGAGAGAATATATGAACATACCTACTACCATGCTTGGTCCATTGAAGTTACTTAATAAATGTTTGCTCTGTCTCCCTCTCTCCCTGTAGATCTGCTTTACAGTGATTTTTAAAAAATCACCTGGGAGGAGACAGAAGAATGACTTCCAAGTATTTTTTCTTCTTTATCAAAGGCTTTTCTTCTTTTGTAGCCTATATGTTAAAATGGGAATAATAATAGTACCTAGAACATGTGGTTGTTGGTTGGAGAAATACTTAGCAGAGGGTATGGTTTATGGCCAGTGCTCAGTAAATGAGAATGTCTGTCATTATTGTAATTTATTATCATCTTCCTCCTCATCAACACTGCATCGCCCTGATTAACAAGGAGGAAATTTAAAATGGAGCTGGATAAACATCTTTTGTTCCCTAGGGTATTTACAAAGACCAAATAATTGTCAATTGTTCTGACCTCCAAATCTAGCTATGCTCTACCCATTCTATGTAATAAATTGGTTCGCAGATCACCTCTTTTCTCTGCTGGGCTTCCCACTGTTTGTGTGTGAGTGTGTGTGTATGTATGTGTGTGAATGTATTTACACCTACACATAATTTGCCAAGCGCAAACCAAGTCCAAACACTCAAACACTGTGCTGTGTGCTTTACATAATTATCGCATTTTATTCTCAACAATAACCCGATTAGGTGGAAATCATGGTCTCCATTTTAGAGATGAGGAAATAAAGGTTCAAAGACATTAAGAAATTTACTCAAGGTCACACAGCTAGCAAGAGACAGGACTCAAGACTCAAATCCAGGTCTAGCTAAAGGGCCTGTGTTGTGTCTGTGACATTATGCTGTTTCTTTATTGATATTTCCTGCCCTGAAATTCCCTTTCATTCAGGAGAAGGAGGTCTCCAGATTGTAGGGAAAGCACCCTTTGTGTGGGGCTCTTTTCCATTTCCACTGCTCTGTTTGTACTCTGGAAACCCTGGTGGCGTACTGGTTAAGAGCTATGGCTGCTAACCAAAAGGTCCAGCAGTTCAAATCAGCCAGGCCCTCCTTCGAGACTCTATGGGGTAGTTCTACTCCCTCTCCTGTAGGGTCCCTATAGGGTCGCTGAGTCGAAATCCACTCAACGGCAATGGGTTTGATTGGTTTTGGTTTGTACTCTGCTGCCCTCTGGTGGAGTCCTGCTGCCTCTGCATTGCCACCAGGAGGAAGATAAATGGGGATTGAGCCTTGGCTGGACGGCTTAGCATGGTTTTCTCATTCCTAAAGTGGGAATAGGAGTTAGACTTTATTGGGTTGTTGTAAAGATTAATTAAGATGATGTGTGTGAAAGGGCTTTGTAAAACCAAAACATATTAGCCATTTGGTAAGGAACCCAGCGCTCCCCCGACTTCTGTGACAGGCTAATATGATCTCTTCTGTTCAGGAGCCAAGGATGTTTGATCATCTATCTCCTATTGAAACACCAGTTTTTGGGTTTTTTTCCCCGTAGCTGTTTGGGGTGGGGGTACCAGGAAGAGATTTGAAAATTAGTAAGTGACCAATAATGTCATTTTATTTATCTGTTTCTGAGTCTATCTGTCTGTCCGTCAGTTTGTCTGTCCTTCCCTCCCTCTGTCCATCCGTCCGCCCGCCCATCTGCCTGCTCACCCACCCACCCACCCATTCATCCTTCTAGGAGTTTTGCTTTTTAAAAGAGAACCCGAAATCAGTGAAGGGCAGCATTACAGGTAGTATAATGGGCATTCCCTGAACACCTCCAAACCTGGAAATAGACAACAACATCCTTTGCCTACTTTCTGGTTGTTGGTGTTATTAGTCACTGTCAAGTCCATTCTGGGACTGATGGTGACCCCACGTGTGCAGAGTAGAACTGCTCTTCAGGGTTTTCAATAACTGTGACTGTTTGGAAGCAGATCACCAGGCCTGTCTTCTGAGGCATCCATGGGTGAGTTTAAATCATCAACCTTTTGGCTAGTAGTCAGGTGCTTAACTGTTTGCGCCATCCAGGGATTCCACATTCTGGTTAGCCCTACATTATTCAGTAAATCTTTACTTTTTCTGCTGCTTTTCAGTGTTGTGGGGACAAGCGGTGGGGAGACTGGAGGCCTCACTTGGCTGTGATTCTGTCGAATCAGGCTGGGGACCCGGAGCTACATCGGCGTGTGATCATCACCATGGGCGACACCCTGGGTAAGCAGAAACCAAGTCTTACTCCCCTTGTCCAGCTCTTTCCTCTCTTCTAGGGCATCTCTAAGCAGGCTTTAAACATGCTGAACTAGATTCTTAGATTCTGTGTGGGGCCAGAGTCTATGCCTCAGGCTTTCCCTTGATGCTGGATCCTCAGTGTTTTGGGGAAGGAATGCCTCTCTCCTTCCCAGAATTTCTGCTGTGAGCCAATGCAGGCCTCGCCCCTGGGACCCTGGTGTTCTTCTGGGGAAGGCTCCTTAGCAGTTATTTTCTACCCTGGGTGAGATTCCCTGTAGGTGGAGTTAACACATGGGCCACCTTGCCTACTGTTGCCATTAGTCCTGCAGTGACCCAGCTCAGTCAGACCGGAAATTCTATTTTTGCTTCAACTACTCTGGGTAATTGTGTCATCTTTTCTCTTTACCGTATCTCTGTGAACGTGGCATTATAAACACTGAGAGACTGTTGAATGTTTCAGTGGTTCTCAAATTTGTTCAAGGGGCAGAACATCTAGAAATCATGGTGCTCTCTGTGGTACTTTGTGAACTACTGTCCCGGTAAAGTAACTATGTGTAAGGCTGGGCCCAGTCAGACAGCAGGTTACTCAGTCCACTGGTGGAAAGGGAACTTACATTTTTTCGGCTCTTCTTGGGTGCCAGGCACCCTGCTTGGTACTTTACGTACCTGAATTAATTCAATTTCAAGGTAATGGGAAATATCAGGGAGAACATTTTTAAATTGGGAAAAATTTAGTAGTTGGTGTGATTTTATAAGCATTAGGAAGGTCAGCAGTTCGAATCCACCGGCCACTCCTTGGAAACCCTGTGGGGCAGCTCTACTCTGTCCTGTGGGGTTGCTATGGGTTGGAATTGACTTGACGGCAGTGGGTCTGGTTTTTGGCTTTTTTGGTTTAGGAAAAATCTCCTATTGTTTAGTTTTAGCAGGGGGAGCATTAGTGCCCTCAGAAACCTAGTTTAAGAACTGCCACTCCAGCGGCCCACTCCTTTGCTCAGGTGTAAGTGTCTCTCCATCACGTCTTATCCTCAGGAAGGACTCAAATGCTAGAAAATTGCTAATAAAAAATGCAGGACAGAATTTCAAGTTCTCATGGAATCCAGACTTTCTGGAGCCATGGAGGCGGGATGAACTCCTGAAACTGTTGCCCTGAGATAATCTTTAAACCTTAAACCAAAAAATATCCCCTGAAGCCTTCTTAAAACCAAATGATAGTTGAGCTTAACTAGTAAAGAATGTCTGTCTTGAGCTTTATGCTGTTTTTAAGAGCTAGCTATATGGAATCAAAATGACACAGCAACTCAAAAGATTAGATAGGAACCTTAGGGGGCAGTGAATTTATGTTAACGGGGAACAACTCAGAGAAGGAGGGTGGGAATGGTTGCATAACTCAAAGAATGTAATCATTATCACTAAATTGCACATCTAGAAACTGTTGAATTGGTGTATGTTTTGCTGTGTATATTCTCAACAACAACAAAACTAAAATATTGAAAAAAAATTCATCAAGGGGAACATGAAATAATGCTTTGTTCTGGCTAGAGAGAATTGAAAAGTAATGTATGAGGACAAAAATGCTGGTGGGAGGGAGTGGAGGGGTGTGTGTGGTGTCTGTGAGTTGTGTTGTAAGAAGTTCATTCACTTCTTATGAGGCTTCTCCCCTCTGCCTTCCGAATCCACTTTTCCACCCCTTTCCCCTCGCCCGATGACCGTCTCCACACGGGTGTGGTCCCTGACTGGGTCTTACTCTCCTCCTCCGGCAGCTGGGAAGGGGCTCGTGGAGGCCGCTCACTTCTGCTACCTCATGGCTCACGTGCCCTTTGGCTACTACACGGTGAAGACAGACCATCTGGCCTTGCTGGGCAGCAGCCACAGGTATGTGATCCTCGGGGAAGTAGGAAGGACGTTTTCTAGGGGATTGTTTTAACCCTTGCTGGCTTCATGGCTTCATTTTCCATTTTATTGTATGAACTTCAGCTGGCGCTGGGCCTTTCATCTTAGGATTGTTTTCTGCCCAGATCTGGGCAAGGAGGCACCCGGTGGAAGCCGCATCACACCACCAGGGGGCCTCAGGTCCCAGGTTCTGCTCTGGGAAGCTTAGAGCTGGTGCCTTTGGGTTGTAGTGTGCCATTATGGCCACTAGGTGGTGCACCGGCTCCATGACCAGAGACTGCTGTTAAACAATATGCTAGCGTGCCTGTGGAGTCCTAGGCAGCCCTGGGCCTGTTTTAAGGCCCATCCTGCAAAACTGGGAAGTGGAAGAAGTTTCTGTATAGCTCTCTCTAGGGGCTCCAGCACGCCCACAATGACTTGGTACACAAGCTGACTACTGAGAGTCCCGCCAGTCAGTTATTCTCTATTGGCCGTAGCATTAGGCTTTTCACACAGAAGGACCTTAATAAGCCTTTAAAGAATGAGTAAACGGACGAACAGACCAGTTTGCTCCCTAGAAAACCTCCGTGTTTTGGGTCTGTCTGCACTACTCCTCATAATAGTTTAGATTTACTAAGCTCTTATGTTACGCCAGGAGCCTTGGTGGCAGAGTGGTTAAGAGCTTGGCTACTAAACAAAGGGTCGGCAGTTTAAATCCACCAGCCATTTCGCGGGAGAAAGAGAAGATTTATAGCCTTGGAAACTCTATGGGGCAGTTCTTCTCTGTCTTATACGGTCACTGAGTCAGACTCCATGGCAGTGGGTTTGGTTTTGGTTTGGTATGTTATGCCGGTCACTGGGTGGCACAAATGGTTAAGTGCTAACTACTACTAACCATAAAGGTTGGTGGTTCGAACCCACCCACAGGTGCCTTGGAAGAAAGGTCTGACGATCTGCTTGTGAAAGGTCACAGCCTTGAAAACCCTATGGAGCGCAGTTTTACTCTGCACACGTGGATTTGCCATGAGTTGAAATTGACAGCAGCTGGTTTTTTTTTTTGGTTTTTGTTATGCCAGTCATTTTATTTGTAGTATTTTGTTTAACTATTAAAAATTTGTCATATGAAGAAGGTATATTCTTAATTTTTATTTCATACAGAAGGGAAACTAAAGCACAGAGAGGTTCAATAAGGTGTCTAACTAGTACAGCCAGCATGGGCTGCAGCTGGACTAGGAATCTAGGCAATCAGGCTGCAAAACCCTTGACGCTGAAAGGTTGTAGCAAACTGCCTGCCGTGGTAGGACCGTACCTTCCTCAGAGCCTGTTCTCTCCAGGCCCTGGTCTCTGGTAGAGCGTTGTGTTTGTCAAAGAAGTCCCTTTCTGCCAATGTGACAATTAATGTGTATGGGTTAATATGTCTCCCCTCCTATGTTACGTTTCAAGAGGAAATTTCTGGAGATAAAGTATTAACCTGGAAATACCCTGGTGACTGTGATTTCAAACATGATAAGCTGTATAGGGGAGAGATTTGGGGTACTCTTTTGTGGGGACTCTTGTTGCCCCCTCTGATGACATTCACCCAGTCCCCTTCCTGATTGGCTGAATGAACACCCACTGTAAGAACTGTCGTTTGATTTCTGGCTCAGCAGCTCTCCCCATTATCTGCCTCGCCTTCCTTTTTCAGCATTCCTGGAGCCTCAAATCATTTCCTCTTTTATGTGGCTTTGTATAAAGGGTAGCTTTCCCCAGGTTCCAGGCTTCAGGGGCACTAGGTTTCAGGAGCCCTTGTGGCGCAATGGTTAAGCCTTCGGCTGCTAACCTGAAGGTCAGCAGTTTGAACCCACCAGCGGCTCCGTGGGAGAAAAGACCTCGTGATCTACTCTCATAAAGCTGACAGCCTAGGTAATGCTGTGGGGCAGTTTGACGCTGTCCTATAGGGTTGCTATGAGTCAGAATCATCTTGATGGTATACAGCAACAAGGTTAGCTCTCAGTGTGTTTAGAAGGAGGACCTAGTGTCCACTGAGCTGGGTTTTGCCCAAGCTAGGGGTAGCTTTTCACAGGTGCATGTTCTGGGCTTCAGGGCACTAAGATTAACTCTAAAGGTGCTTAAGAGGAAGACCCAGTGCCCCCTGAGCTGGCATGGAGGGCAGACTGGGCTACTGAGGTCCAGCTTGTCTTAAGTTACCCTCTAACTAGGAAGACAGAGACCCTTCCCACCCTCCCAGTGCCTTTGGTGCAGGGTTCGTTGAGTTCCTTCCCCACCCTGACGAAGGCAGGAGGAGAGGAGGCAGAACACTCCCACTGGATGCCCAGAGTCTCCTTCTCCTGGGGCAGCCCAGTGATCAGCCCAGCTCAGAAACGCTACTGTGAACTAATGCAGTGCGTCTTTGGCTGTCTTCTAGGATTTTTAATTTTTTCCCTAGACCTCACTCCATTTTATTGTTGTCTTCCTCGTTTTAGCCAAGAGTTTTTGAAATTTGCAACGACTGAGGCTATCCAGAGGACAGAGATCTTTGAGTACTGCCAGATGTTGGGCCGCTCCAAGTCCTTCATCCCTTCTTTCCAGGTAAGTGAACCCTGATGAGGCTTCCATCTTAACTGTGCCAGGCTGGTTGGCTGCCAGGCAGTGAATTCTCAGCTTTGCTATTGCCCACATATTGCTGGAATAAATCACCTACTGAACTTTTCCTCATCACCTCAAGCATGGGGAGGTTTAGGAGTACTTTTTATATCCCCTAAAGGTCTACATTTTAAGATACGAAAGCAAAATCTCGCAGAGGCTTCTTTGCTGGTCGCCTCTGGCCTCTTCCTGACATATAAAAATTGTGCCTCAGTCCTGGTGTCCAGCTCCTCACTCTTGCTCTGCTGCTTTTTCTACTCTTCTCTCTCCAAACAGCTCTGTCCTCTCCTCAGCCTCCACAGCCATCCTGCCTGAGAGTGCGAGCAACAACGACCAACACAGTGGGCCCCTCATCCTGCTCCTCGCTCTCTTCTCCGAGTTCTTGTGGACTCCTTCTAACTCTGGAAATTCTTCCGTGTCCTGTCCTTGGGCCTCATCCTTCTTTCTTCTTCTCAGGGCTTCACCTGTGCAGGTAACATCTGCATTGCAGGTTCTAACCTCCTTCTTGACTTCTCTACTTGATGTCTTATGGTTGAATAGAGGACGACAAGTCTAATACCAGTGTCATGCCATCCTCATGTCCAGGTCCTGTGTATGTTCCCCTTCATCCCCTCCTCCGTGAAGCCTTCCCTAGCCACTCTTACTAGTGTGACTGTAATAGTGGCCCTCAGTGGCCTCATCTGTGAAATGGGGTTATGGTGGTGCTTGGGTAATGGAACTGGCACGAGGACTGAATTAGTGAATTTTTGTAACACAGTAGAACAGTGCCTGGCGTAGAGATTATTTCACCCTACAGTGAGGGCTCCCACAGCTGGGCTTCCAGGATGCCCTTGAACTAGACCACTATCTAGCATTTAACCTCTACTGCTCTTTATTATTATTATTTTCACGTCCAGGTATCTTATCTTCCTATCTGAATGATCTTCTTTAGGGCAGAGACCTGTTCTAATGATTATTTATATCTCCCTCCCACCCACTGCCATTGAGTCGATTCCAACTCACAGCAACCCCGAGAGTTTCCAAGGCTGTAAATCTCTACGGAAGCAGACTGCCGTATCTTTCTCCTGCGGAGCCGCTGGTAGTTTCAAACTGCCTGCCTTTCAATTAGCAGTCGATCACTTTAACCACTGTGCCACCAGGGCTCCTTGTATCTCCCTCAGTGCCTGGTATAAATGTTCAGCAAAAACAACAGCACACATATAAAAACACAATGCTAAACATAAAACAAAAACTCTAAAATGAATGAACTACTGTGTATAGAGAAATGACTCAAATAGTATCATCTCTTTTTTAAGAGTTTTACCAAAGACCCACCTTCTCCAGCAAAGCCTTTCCTCACGAGCTTCTCTTGGGTGCTGACACTTTGGTCTCTAGGGTCAACACCTTTCTTTTCTTCATTCATCCCACCTCCCCATTATTTTGGTTCTGTTTTGGGCTGACAGTAATGATATTAGCTGGTTTTACTGAAAGTGTACTACATGTCTGGCATTGCGCTATTATGCTTTCTGTGTATTATTTCTAATCATGAGAGGTAGGCATTATTACCCCTCTTACAAATGAGGAAACCGAGGCTCAGATGGGGTACGTGGTATTGGCTCAATCTCATCTACACCATTTGTTATAAATACATGAATTATCTCATTTAATCTTCACAATGACCAAGAAGATAGGCAGCATTATTATCACCATCTTATAGTGAGGAAACTGAGGCACAGTGTGGAGCTGGGATTTGAACTTGAGTCTGTCTGACTCCAAAGCCCTCATCCCACCCTGTCACTCTTGCTCTGTGAAAGTTTACCTGTGTTTGCCTGTTCTCTGGATTCCATTGGGTTTCAAGCCCCTTGCACCAGGATCTATCCTTCTCTCTCTGACCCTGGTGCCCAGTCCCATGCCCCACATCCATCAGGCCCTCCAGAGATGGGGACTGCCTGATAAGAAGTGAGTACTCCAGTACATTTCCATGGTGACCAGGCTCTAGGATGCCTGAGCTGATGCGATTTCCATCCCTTTCTCTATGATGCAGGAACCGCAGGCTGAATTTGGAATTGTGCCCATGCACATATAAAATAGCCCCAGTAGCACAGGCTGTCGTTGATATTTGAATGTCAGCATAGCGGAAGCTGGCAGTCAGCTGACTTCCAAGAAGTCTTCTCTACATTTCTCTTTCTCTCTTTCCCTGCATGGATGGACTAGTCATTGGCCCTGTTCCTCTTCACAGGTATATAAACTCCTTTATGCTTCCCGTCTGGCAGATTATGGCCTCACGTCCCAGGCCTTGCATTACTGTGAAGCCATTGGTGTGGCCCTCCTTAGCCAGGGAGAGAACAGTCACCCCGTGCTGTTAGCGGAACTCATCAAGGTGAGCTTCTCAAAGGGTTCTCTGCAGGTGTTTTATCTTCCCCGTTCAGAGAAAGCCATCGTAAAGCAGCTTAGACTCTGCATTTCATCTTCTTGGAACGTCTTGTAAAATTGGCACCCATGGCTGTCTTTGACCATATGTGCATGCCCAGATGTGATAAGCAGAGGCCC